GGCAGAGCACCGGTAGCCCGTTGTGTAGCTTTGTACATAACAACAACTACTCAGTATTGTATTAGCGACAAATGGATTTTTAATGCAAGATATGAGCGTAATCATGTATTATTCTGTATGCGAATAACTCGTATAGTGTGTAACTTAGTACGTAATTTTTGTAAAAATTAAATAACCGAAAGCAAATTACGGTCACGATTAAAGTCAAGGGAAATACAATAAGAATTTGTAATTCTTACAAAACGTGTCATATAAAACTATTAGCACCAGTTGCATATCCTCTAAATAACAATAATAATACAAATTATCCATTATTTACAACATGGGACATTTGATTTTTAATACAGTCAATATTTCTCATATTTTGCTATGCCTACCGTAAACGTGACAAATTCTTAAACATCAGAATTATCAGATCTACAGAACTAATTCCTGAACCTGTATGTCATTAAACACTAATCCTTTTTTCTTAAAATTTAAAACATTTCAAGAGCTGTTAGAATAGTTGATTAAAATATTTTCAATTATTACATTAGAACAGAGAGCTTGAGCTTCACGTACAGGATTAAAAGAACACTTAACAATTGTTGAGGACAAATATTAAATAGTTTTGGGTATGTGAGGGTAGGGCGTTATGACACGAGCTAAAATATGTAAAGAATCACATCAACGTTTGTTTCAATATTTTATTTATAATGTATTGCAACAATGTACACGCTCAATTATAAGCGCTACTTATTATTCAACTTAAAATTTTATACATTCAAAACAGAAGATCGAAAATGCAATTTTCTAACGAATATTTAATCTCTTTTGTGAACAACAGATGGCAGGAACAACGACTTTGTTTTTCTAATTAACAGAAATTATGTATAGTGAGTTTTCTTTATACCAGATGGCAGCTTAGACTCTTCTGTTATAATAAACTATATCATATCTGTTCATGAACAAAAATAATCACGTTAAAACAAATTAAACATTTTTAGTAGAGAGATTTAAACTACTTTTTATGTTAAACAGGCATCAGTTGTGCTCGTGAAATGTTATTTAATTAATGAAAACTTGATTCGAAGAGTGAAAATTTTCACTCTTACGTGGCAGTAAATATGTGTTGCTAAGCTTCACAGGGATTATCAATGCTGTGCCCACCATGAGTATTAAACCCTGTTTTTAGCGTTAAAAGCCTTCAAATATACCGCAGATCCAGTAGGGGGCGATAAATTTGTCGTGTATATTTGGAATGATACTTTACTCAAGTTTCACTATACCAATATAACACTGCATGTAACACCTACTATTACAAGATATATTTTGTATTTTCACAATTTATTATTTTTGATTGTTAAAATAACGTTAATTTTATGCTGAGCACATGAAAAATTTGTATCAGTTTAACACAGGGTTTATCACATGAAACATTTTTATTATTGTCTGACGTAATATCGTTTGTATGTTATCTATGATAAACAAACGATGATAGAGACATCACGCAGCAAATACGGGTAGTATAGAAGTACGTACCTATATAGAAGTACGTACCT